TAATAGAAGCCTACCCAAACCGTCCACTTTGAGCTCAATTATCTCGATTCCTGTAAAAGATATTAAAAATGTGCCAACTGATAAAATGGCGGTGCTATTGTGATATCTAAGTTATAAGTTGAGAAATTTTCAATATCTTTCACAGGAATCAAGAATTGAGCTCAAAGTTGACAGTTAAGATGGTCTTCTATTACGGTATTTAAATTAAATAACTTCCAAAAAACTTACAAGTGAGACAGCAGAAGGATAGGTTGGAAATTTGAAGATCCGTCTCGCTGATCAAGCCTGGAAGCTCTCCGAGCACCTGAGTCAGCTCCTCATCTGGAATCGACGACGCTGGTGTGTGCTTCATGAGCTTCTCGACGAACACAAGGCACGTCATCTGAAATACAATCGAAATTTTAGTCACATTATTCTGGTACAGGAAAAATTGGAGCTGTGGACTCACAGCTACCGCAACCTACAAATATTTTAATTTTCGAGTTTTTTACTCGACTTTCTTGCGTTTTCAGTCAAATTTTTGGGTGAAAAATAACAGAAAAAGCGACGAAATTCCAAGCGATTTTTTATAGTTTTTGAACGATTTTAAAGCGTTTTCAAAGTAAGTTCTAGGTTACTGCAATTATCGCTGTGAGACCTTCCCGACTACTATTTAAAACTCACTCTCAACGCTCTGGCGGTCTTCTTAAGTACTCTGCGATATGACCCAGAATTGTCTTCGTTTGCTCCTTACTTAATACAATTCCAGCTCCAACCATTTGAGACGAAGCACGAAGAGCCATAAGACATGTCATCTCTCTTCCGATTCTCTCCGTCATTTTCTCCAGAATCGCCGGTGTTTCAGGCTTCAGCTGATCCTTGAACGCCGACATCAACGTACTGATAGCGCTGATCGATTTCTCTCTGACCTCTTGATCCGTTTCGTTGGACATGAATTTCTGTACAATTACAACGAGCAGTTTCTTCGCCTCCTCGTTTCCTCCATTTTGAGCCAACACTCTGAGCACTTCCACGTACTTAGAAGACACCGAGAGTCCTTCAGCGCAAACTTTATAGAATGAATCGGAAATCGATTGAGTCATCACAGCGGTCAGAGGAGTAAGGAGTTTTTGGAATTTCCTTGGTTCATTGGTCACCAATGCCTTTGAAATGAACGCCAGGACCACCATTTTTCCCTGTGCAGATGCATTCTTTTCAGTGAGAATACTGGCGACAGCTGGGATGACTTCATCCAGAGAATCCTCCAAAAATGTTGGATGCGTGCGAATGAGAGCAGAGAGAAGCTCAATGCACTTGGCACCTGATTTCGGGTGTCGTTTTAGCGATTTCACGATAGCCTTCAAAAGGGACGCCTTCTGCTCCCCGAGCATCTTGATAACATCCACTTGGCTTCCAGAAAGATGATGAGTTGAGAATTTGATTCCTCCAATCACAACGACATCGTCAGTCTCTATAGAATCCTCGTCGGAAGAGACAATAGCCTTCTGAAGATCCGGAACTAATAGAGAGATCTGGTTGAGAAGTGCAATATAAACAGAGATGATTTCAGTGCGAACAGTTTCTTCTCTCTCTTTGAATCTTCCGATAATAATTGGCCCCAGAGTTTGAGCCAAGTAGAGAATCGATTCACGATGCGACGCTACCATAGCTTCCATCGCCTTTGCAGCAGCTCTTCTGACCTTCCAGGTAACGTCTTCATCGTCACTGTAGTCATCGTCATCCTCATTTTCATCGTCCTCCATTTCATCCTCCTCTTCATCATCTCCATATTCATAATTTGGATCGTATCGGAGTGCTTTCGTGAGGTGTTTGATGACGTCAGCTTGGAAAGCACTCACTTCCTGAGGACTTCTGTACAAGAACACTTCGAGACCTTGAAGTGCAGCCTCTCTTAAATCGTCATTATCCGAATCCTCCTCCACGTCGAGATATCTCAGAAGGTGTGGCATCATATGAGCTGTATGTTTTGAGAATTTGGATCCACTGGCTCTAGCAATAGTGCTCAGAGCTACAACAAGGGTACGAACCTGCGTACGTTGAGATGAGGAATCAACAGTCTTCTTGGACAACTCAGCGAGGAGATTGATAACGAGCTCATCGTAAAGGGTACTGTTAATCACTGAAGCAAGATGTCCGAGTCCAGTTGTTGCCTTCTTTCTGATAGCAGAACGTCCAGAATACAAATGATCAGTCATGACTTTCAATGCAGCTGGGTGAAGGTGTGGAACATCTTCTCCGAATCTCAACAAGATTTCTCCAATCAAATCGAGCACATCAATACGAGCCGCATCGTCAACTGGACAGGTGTTGATGGATTCCAAAAACTTTGGAAGCATTCTTTTAATCACAACTGGCGTGTCTTTGTTGGCTGACGCTGGTGGCATATTTGCGATCATTGATTTGAGAGTCAATGCATGGATATCACGGGACTGTTCGTTTTTTGAGAAGACGTGAGGGATGAGTTCCTCGACGAGTTGCTCCAAATGATGGGATTTGATTTTCGATGGAGACGCGAGAAGACCAATGCATTTGATTGCCAGGTTCTGAACTTCTCCGTTCGTGTCGTTGAGCAAACGGATCAGAGCACGCATCACCTGGAAAATATGCACTTAGGGCGAATTTTTGTTTTTTTTCTAGTCTTTTTAATGTCAGAACTTGAATATTTGGTGTCATTTTAAGCAGATTTTTGCCATTTTTTAGCGTACTTTGAAGGATCAATTTTGACTGATTTTGCCGAATTTTGTACCACTTTCAGTTGATTTCGGATAGTTTTTAGGGAAAAAACTTTCAAAAAAACCGAAGTTTTAAAGGGGATTTTCTTCGTATTTTTCGCAAAATTGTTAGACCTTTTTAGGTTTTCCAGCTATTTTTAAAGATCTTTTTTCGATTTTTCCGAATGTTTTACCTGCAATTCGATTGGAAGGTGTTCGCAGGGATTACTGTAGAAAACTGTTTTCCCTTTTGTAGTTATTTTTGCTAACACCTTCACGTCAAAATGCGGACGACAACTTTGTTGCAAAAAAAACAAACTTCAAAATTTGTAAAATACAATTTTTCTACCGTAATCTTCACGACCGTCCCATCGATTTGCAGACAAAAAACCCGAGAAAATGGAAAACGAATCATTAAAAACAACTGAAAAACCTAAAAAGGTCTAAGAATTTTGCGAAAAAACGAAGAAAGTTCCATTCAAACTTGGGATTTTTTAAAACTTTTTGAAGCGATTTTTTGAGGTTTTCCAATTTTTTCGGCTGAATATAAGCTTAAAATTATTTGAAATCGTCGAAAAATGGTCTTAAACCGGCTGAAAATATGAGAAATCCTTTTAAACTGAATTCTTGGCCCAATTTCTCCATATTCTATGCACCTTGGCCGTCGAATCATCCTCCAGCGTGATGGTTCCCAGTTTCAAATCCTTCATCAAATCGTTGCATGCCATAAAACGAAAATCCTTGTCCGGATTGGCCATTTTGTCGACGAGCTGTCCGACATGATAGGCACTCATCTGCAACATCTTTTGGCGTTTAGGAATGAAAAAGCAGCTAGAAATTGAAGAAAGATAACCAGGTGAACTGGTAGAGGAAAACTGAAAAAAAGGACAAAAAATCTGAAATCTTCTGGAACACATCGATTTTTCATCGGGAAAAAAACTGATAAGGAAAAAACACTGGTGGGGGCTCAACAATAACGGGAAAATGGCTAGGAATGGAGGAAAAAACAGGAGACAACAATGGGTGGGGAAAACACACGAAGAACACAAAATTCCAAATTTCAGAAAGAAGAAAAAAAATTAAAATTAATAACAAGGTGTATTTACTAGAAACTAGTGTATTAAGTGAGCTGAATATATGAATATGAAATTACCGTAAATCCTGTATTAGAAGAGACCCTTTAATAGAAAGGCCCTCCAAGAAGAGCTTGGAACAAGGGTTTGCCCTTGTAATACAGGTTTTACGGTATCTAAAATGAATCAAAAAGAACAAAACATTATCAAAAAAAAAGCGGAGAAAAATCAATGGAAAGTGGCCAATCTCTGGGTGCCTGGCCGAGCGTTTCCTTCGAGTTTCAGCTTGTCCAGAATCTCTCCAATTTGGTCGGATCCATTAGAAGACGTGGATTTCAGAAGGCTATCAGAGGAGCTTCCTTCTTCTTCGACAACTTGAAGAGCTGGACTTCTGGACCCAGAGAAATACGAAGAGAGTTGACCAGTGGCGGCCAGAAGGAGACCGAAGAATGGTGGAGATGGTGTGAGTGGATGAGAGAGGTATTCGGGATGGAATTGAGCACCGACAAAGTATGGGTGGTCTGGAAAGGAGATTGGGATTGAAGCGGAGTAGCAGGATGTTTTGTTCAATTTTTGGTTTAAAATCGCCTAAAATCCCTCGAAAACGCCCAAAACTGCTCAAAAAGCGCCAAAATGGGGCCCATAAAATAGAGTTTTGAGTGATTTGATTTTTGGAGGATTTTTAGGCAATTTTGAGCAATTTCTGCGGATTTTTTTAGCGATATTGAGCGACTTTTTGGCTATTTTTTGAAAGATTTCTGGGCGATTTTTAGAAAAAAAAACGAGGTTTTGAGGTCATGTATGATTTTGGGTGGAGGTTCTAGAGGAGATTGAAAAAAGTTGCATAATTCTAGGTTCTGATAGAGTGTAAATGAAACTGGTCAATAGAAAAAAATTGACAAATGAAGAATTGAAGAACGAGCGATGACAAATGAAGAAGAATCAATTGCTGAGGCGTTTTTTTCATTCAAAAAAGCGGTCTCAATAGAGCGCATTCGCATTAGAGCGTAGTTTTTTTTAATGACAGACAAGAGGAGGCTATTGATTCCGCGACATTTTTATTGCTCATTCTTAACGAATAAAATTTTTTAGTACTTCAAAATTTTCCTCAATTTCGATTTCCCAATTTTTTTTTGTTTTTTTTTCGTCTTTCTCAAAACTGTTCAAATATGGACATCCGGATACACAGACAGATGTCCGAAACTGGAGTCCCCCAAGAAAGTGTCACTGGCCCCTTTTTGTTTCTGATCTACATTAACGACTTACTCTGCCTCTTTCCGCTTATTTTCAGCCGGAAAAAAATTGAAAAACTTTGAAAACTCGCTTCAAAAGTTTTTAAAAACCCCAAGTTTTAAAGGGGATTTTCTTCGCTTTTTCGCAAAATTTTTAGATCTGTTCAGGTTATTCAGCTATTTTTGAAGATTCTTTTTCGATTTTTCCGGTTTTTTGTCTGAAATTCGATAGGAAGGTGTTCGCAAGGATTACTGTAGTAAATTTCCTGTAGTTGGTTGAAAAACTATTTTTTTCCAAGTTTTCGTTTTTTTGAGGTGATTGTGTTCGAAGCAACAAAAAAAACTACAGTAATCTACAGTAATCTTCACAAATACCGGTCCGTTGAATTTCCGACAAAAAAGCGGCAAAAATCGAAAAAGGAACTTCAAACATGTCTGAAAAATCTGAAAAGGTCTAAAAATTTTGCGAAATAACGAAGAAAATCCCATTTAAAACTTCGGATTTTTGAAAGCTTTTTGAAGCGATTTTTCAAAGTTTTTCAATTTTTTTTCGGCTGAAAATTAGCTTAAAATGATTGCAAATATTCGAAAATTATCATTGATCTCACGAAAAATTGTCTTAAACCGGCTGAAAATGGACAGCTTGAGCTCAATATCACAAAACAAAAACTCGTCTGTCTGTGTATCCGAACGCCCAGATTTGGACAAACTTGAAACCGAAAAATCGGATTTCTAAACGAAAAATAGGCTTTTTCCTTACCCTTCATCTCGAACATTTCCATTCTGACGGCTGGACGAGTCACACCGTCTCCTCCTCTGTGACACAAATCGTCAATTTTGTGAAGCAAATCAATTTCAGCCTTATCGGCCATTTGCATCAGCTCCGCCGAGCTATCCGTTCTCTTTTTCACATCCCAAATGTCCGTATTCTGCTCGTCGACACCCATTCCGACGAACAAGAATCCTTTACGAGCCATCTGAGGGACGACACGTGGATTCACTTCGTAACGATGACGATGACGTTCTTCGACGGTGTGCGCTCCATAGAGACGGTCTGAAATATTGATTATGGAATTTAGTGAAAAAAGTGGTTTGATAATTTAACTTTGATTGATAAAAATCATATGAGACCTGTATTATCAATTTCAAGCCTGTTTTCCTCATCCATAAGCGATTTTTCGGGGGAAAAGGGGGTTTTGAGGAATTTAGAGGTATCGAAAAGTAGTTTTTCTCAAATTTAGCTCGCAAAATAGTATTTTTAGAGTAAGAATCGTTGCTAGGAAACATTTGTTGAGAGATTTCGAGCGACTTTCTGTCAATTCTCAGCAATTTTCCGAGATTTTTAGCGATTTTGAGCTATTTTTGGATGATTTTGAGAGTTTTTGAGATACTTTAAAGAGATTTTCAACGAAGTTTGAGTGCTTTCTGAACGATTTTTAGACGATTTACTCGAAATTTTCGAGCGAATTTTGGTGATTTTTCAGTAATTTTCTAGCGATTTTGGGCGATATCTGGGTGATTTCTGGACAATTTTGAGCAATTTTTTAGATTTCTCCTTCAAAATTGTGCTCCCTACTCACGAAGTGTGCAGTCATCAGTGAGGAAGACAGTTGAACGTCTTCCGAGACGCATCGTGCCTCCCAATCCTTTCTCTTCAACATTATGCTCTGGCATATCGATGACGATCTGTTGATCTTCATGAAGATCCGCATTGAATTCCGTAGAATTAGCTCCCTGGATTCCCAAAACGTTTCTGGCGAATTCAACAGCGGCAACTTGCATGCCAAGGCAGACTCCGAGATATGGAACATTGTTCTTACGGCAGTACTCGGCACACTTGATCATTCCTTCGACACCACGACGATCGAAACCTCCTGGTACGATTACTCCGCTGAAACCATAGAATTCAGAAGGTATTGGAGTGGTTAGACTCACTCAGCAGCCTTGACCTGATTCCAAGCTGCTTCCGATTGCTCTCCGGCCTTCTCCAACAATTCTGAATCCACGTAGATGATCTTGAGCTTTCTCTTGGCGTGTATAGCTGCATGCGAGAGAGCCTTGTTGACCGAAGCGTAGGCATCTGCTATTTTGACGTACTTTCCGACCAGAGCAATATTCACAACTTGTTGGAATGTGTCACATCTGAAAGATACAGATAAAGAGATTTGATAAGGTAACTTTCTTACAGCTCTGAAAGGTTGGTCCAGTGTTTCATGGTGAATTTCAACTCTTTTCTGATATTCTCATTGATTTCCGAGAGCACCAAACGATGCTTAATCGCCTCCAAAACTCCCTGTTGCTGTAGAAGCAGTGGGACCTTGTATATATTCGAAACATCGTGTACACCAACAACTTGTTCCAAATCCATCATTCCGAATCGAGCAATCTTCTCCCGAAGGTGTGGATCCAGTTGTTCTGTTGATCGGCAAATGAGGAGATCCGGAACAAGACCAGCGGCTCTCAAATGGCGAACTGAGTTCTGCATTGGCTTCGTTTTGGGTTCTCCGGTGGCGTTTGGATGGAGTATCAAGGAAACATGGACATTCATGAGGTGATTCTTAAGAGTTGGACGTTGGAATCTTTCGAAGGCTGAGAGATAAGTCATTCCTTCGATATCCCCAATAGTTCCTCCCAATTCAATGATACACACATCCGGTTGCTCGTTAGTTCCATCTACAGGGATCTGGGCGACACGTTCAACCCAATCCACAATAGCATCAGTGAGATGGGGAATCATTTGAACTGTCTTTCCACAGTAATCTCCTCTTCTTTCTCTCTCCATCACATGTTTGAACATTTTTCCAGTGGTGATATTGTTATCTCTTGTCAGGCGGATGTCCAAGAAGCGTTCGTAGTTTCCCAGATCCAAATCAACCTCTCCTCCATCATCAAGGACGAAGACTTCTCCGTGTTCGTATGGGGAGAAGGTTCCCGCATCGATGTTGAGGTACGGGTCGATTTTGATGGCGGAGACCTGGAAATTGCAAGATTTTCATCTTTTTTTTTGAAAAACTAGCGATTTTTCGAAAAAAAATTTTTTTCTCCGTTTTTTTCGCAAAATTTTTAGACCTGGTTAGGTTTTTCAGCGAATTTCAAAGGGTTTTTTCCAGTTTTCCGGTATTTTTTGTCTGAAAATTGATGGAACGGTCGTGAAGATTACTGTAGGTTACTGTAGAAAACGAATTTTCTCGTAGTTTGTAATTTTGGTTTTTTGAATAAATTTTTATCTGCATTTTGACGTGATGGTGTTTGCAAAAATCAAAACTACAAACTACGAGAAAATTCGTTTTCTACAGTAATCTACAGTAATCTTCACGGCCGTGCCATCAAATTTCAGACATAAAATTCGGAATAATCGAAAAAGGACATTTGAAAATAGCTGAAAAGCCTAGAAAGGTCTAAAAATTTTGCAAAAATCGAATAAAAAACACATTTTTCTTTCGAAAAATCTCAAAAAATCTAATTTTTCGAAGTTTTCAGTTTCGGCGGGTACTTAGAAAATTTGTATTTTTGATCGGAGTCCCTTTTCAAACTTAATTTGCACCATTTCTAATTTTTTTTTCTTATCAAAAATCGAGTGGTCAACTCAAGCAAATCGGATTATTTCTGCCAACGGTCAGTGAGAGGATAATTTCCGAAAAAGTTCGAAAAATCATGGAAAACCCAAACTTTTTTTCACATAAATCTACTTTAAATCACCTTGTAACCATTATTTTTGAGCAAAACACCCAAACTCGACGAGATGATTCCCTTGCCGACACCCGAGATGACACCTCCGGTCACCAGAATATACTTGACACGCTTTTCGGCCGGCATCTCTGAAAACCAGAGACTGTTATATGAAAAAAAAGAGAAAAATATGGATTTTTAAGACCGTTATCATCGAAAATTGCGATCAAACTTCAAAAATTTCATGTTTTTAGGCAGAAATTGCGGTCAAAACAAAATTGTTTTCAAAATTTTCGCGGGCACGAGAAGTGCGTCAATGACTTATCGAGTTTCGGGTCAACGACCTTCTTGGCGCCTTTTTCGAAAATCAAAAAAACATTTTTTTTTTCGTTGAGTTTCAAAAGTTTTTACTTTATTTTTTCGCAGATTTTTCAGAATAAAACATAGAAATAATTTTAAAACAAATTTTAAATTATTTTCAGGCCTCAAAAGCCTCAGATTTATGCTAAAACACCTCTTCCAAAGGCTCACCCGAATCATGACGAAGACTGTCGAGGAACCAGCGGTCGACAAATTGAACCATGTTCAATCGGGTGGTGTGCACAAAGAGGCAAAGAAGCCAAGAGTGAAACAAGCGAAATATGCGATGCTTTTGGGCTATCAGGGCAAAAAATACTACGGGATGCAGGTGATAAGATAAGAAAAAAGGGTTGAGGGTCAATTTTCGATTATTTTTCAGCTGCAAAAAGATCTTCCAACGATTGAATCGAAACTTCTGGAAGCAATGGAGAAGGCAGGGTGGATTACTGCTGCTCAGAGGGAGAAACCCTTCGATTTCTTCTTTCAAAGAGCCGCCAGGACAGATAGAGCCGTGTCAGCAGCTAGACAGGTAGAGTGTTTTGGTTTTCAGAGAGTTCTTATCAACTTGTTCATAGAAAAATACTTTTTTTCCATGAAAAAGTGCCGAAAAGTGTCAAAAATGGGCTGATTATTCTCTAAAAACTATATTTTCCAGATGTGCGGAATGCAATTGCCACGAGACGACGAAAAGTACAAAGTGGATGGTCCTGGCATCCTCAATAATTTGCTCCCCAACGATATTCGAGTTTTTGGAATGAAACGAACCATCAATTTCTTCCATCCGCAGAAACAGTGCGACTATCGAACCTATAGTTACACTTGCCCGACGTTTGTCTTTGCCAAGCCCACTGAGGTAATTTTAGGCTGAAAGTTGATCTAAATCCTCCAAAAACTGACTTTAGATGGTCCAAAATCGGCTAAAACTGGCTAGAAATCTGCTAAAAATTGATCTAACTCTGTTAAAGAATGACCCAGAAACTATCAGAAATCCGCAAAAAGTGACCCGAAACCCCAAAAATAACTCTAAAATTGACTGAAAATAGCTCGAAATTGGCCAAAAATAACTTCAAAAGTTGGCTGAAACTGCTGAAACTGGTTTGACATGTGCTGAAAATAGTCAAAAGTAGGCTGAAAAAAACAACAAAGTCCGAAAAAAATTGTTCAAAATTTTTTAAAAATGAATAAAAACGGTCAAAACTTTGCTGAAAATGGCTGAAAATGGCTCGATTTTAGCTACAAAACAATTTAAAATCCAGTAAAATTGGTCTTAAATGACCAAAAATTCGCTTAAGATGACTCTTAAATGACTGAAAATTACCCAAAAATAATCCAAATGACCCAGAAAATGATCTAAAATCGGCCAAAAATAACCCTAAAATTGGCTGAAAATAGCTTGAATTTTGCCGAAATTGTTCTAAATCCGTTGAAAATGGTACAAAAAAAAATGGCCCAAAATCTGCTAAAATGGCTAAAATCAGTTTGAAAATGGCCGAAATTTCGCTAAAAGTGATCCACAACTGGCCAAAAAAAACCCTAAAAATGACTGGCATTGGGTCCAAAAAGATTTTTTTCTAGTTCATGGCCTAGTCTCTTGGTTTTCTAGGTCAAAGTTGGATTCCTAGGTCACGATCTCTCTTTTGGATTTCTAGGTCACGGCCTGATTTTTTGAATTTCTAGGTCGTGGCCTAGTTTTACGAATTTATAGGTAAAATAAGAAGGGATTTTTTGGTCTTGACCTAATTTTCCAGATATTTGACCAAGAAATCCAAAAACTAGGTCATGAACTAATTTTTGGATTTCTAGGCCAAGACCTAGTTTTTTCAATTTTTCGGATTCTGGGGCAAATTTGGATTTCTAGACCAAAAGTTTTAGCAAAATTTCGAATTTCCAGCTCACCAACGCGGCATTCCGAATCTCAAAGGAGACACTGGCTGAAGTGAATGACATTCTCTCGATCTACAAAGGAACACACAATTTCTTCAATTATACAGCGAAACGGTGAGAATTCAGGGATTGCTCAGCGTTAAATTTATTGAAAAACGGCTGAAATCTTGTTTTTTTTGAGCTGGAAAATTGAATTTTGGGATCTGAAATTCCTTAAAACTGGACAAAAATCCCGGGAAATCGAACTTTGGAATCAGAAAATTTGATTTTTTCACCCGGAATCTCGATTTTTGATGTTGAAAATATCGAATTTAGTGTCTGAAATGTCTCAAAAAATCCCAAAATCTTCATTTCAGAGCCTACGACGATATGAGTTCGAATCGATACATTGTGTCATTCGAGTGCAAAGAACCATTCTTGTTCCGTGACGAATTCAGAAAAGAAGACGTTGAATTCATTCAAATCGTCGTCAAGGGACAATCTTTCGTTCTTCATCAAATTCGAAAAATGGTTGGAATGGTGATTACGGTAGTCAGGGAACTCCATTTGAAATCGGCAATTCAACGGTCTTTCGAAGGGCAGAGAGTGGGTTTTTAAACTACAATAACCTGAAATAATTCCAAATTTGGTTGAAAATTGACTAGAAATAGCTGAAAATGACTTACAACGATCATCTGAACTTGAGCCTATTTTTGAAGCTAATTAGAGCTATTTTCAGAGGATTTTCAGCCAATTTAGTGCAATTTAGACTAGTTTTATCATGGTGGCCTAACTTTTGCAAGTTGAATTTTTTAGGCCACCAGCTTTTTGGCCTAGAAATGGTCTAACATGACCCAGGTGTATTTTCTAGGTCATTCTTTGAAGCTGTGTCATAATTCGAGAATGAACACAAAACGTTCGGAACAGTTTCGTCCGTTGTGATGTCGACATTCCACCATTCGATCTTTGCAATTCTTTTGAGAATTTCTTATTTTTCCAAATCGTCGGATTCAATTTTTCAAGGATAGTGTCCATTTTGACCATCTGCTTCACATGCAAATTTTGTGTCGCAAAAAATGCATCTTCCTGAAAAATATCGATTTTTCGGTCCCAATTTTTGGGTCCTTTCGACACGACTTTGAGAAATCCTTC